ATTATGAATGATGGGTTTTAAACGCCCGTGTAAAGGAATTAGCGTGAGTCATACGTACAGTACATATACATGTATATGTATATTTTTTTTTTTTTAGAAGTGTATATATATAATATATAGACATAAGTATATATATATATATATATATGAGTGTATATACATATATATATATAAGATCATTTAATACTTCTTCTCATATTTTATTCGATTTTAATAAGCAAAGCGAAAATACTCTCAAAATGTTGTTTTGCTTTTACTTCTAATTGAGATAATGTCAAGATAGAGTCAACTTATCAATGATGGTCATGACCAGGAACCCATTTGTAAGCTATATATACAATAAATTGCTTGTTGTTGTTCGCATTACTTTAAGATAATATGTATTGATAAGGAAATATGTGTTCTAGATTTTTTCATTTTATTTCACCACTTTTATAAATGTATATGAGCGAGTTAAAAATGGTCATGCGATTGTTATGTCAAGTGATCGCATTCACCCACATCGAAACTTTTTAAATAACTTGTGAATCTTCCCATTTAAGATATGTACTTGGGTGTTGTGTGTGTTTCGAACTGTTAATTTAAAACGAATCAACTCTATGCGATTACACGGCTGATTTGCATTTAAAGAGAGCTGATATCACAAAGTTCGAATAATGCATGAATTGCTTATGAGCAATGCTAGCTCATGTATATATATATATATATATATATATATATGTATATATATATATGTATATATATATATATATATATATACATGTTTACATACATATATATATATATGTATGTAAAAACGGGAATTTTGGGAGCTTACTATCTATAACAGATATTAATCTATGCTTCGAATAAATTCTCAATTTTACAGAACTAGGAATACGCTTCGAAACACCTACGGGGAATAACCTTTAAGTAAGAATCCGTTTATCTGTCGATATGAAAAGTACAACCTTGTTTGTAACCTTGCAATGATGTTAAGTTATTCTAAGCAAACTGTAGATCGCCCGTATAAAGTTTATTAAGGATACTGGATTGTGTGAGCGAAAGCTATAATCACAATTGGGCGATACAAAGGGCACAAGGATCATGTGTACACACAACACATTCTATGACATAATCCATATAGCTTTTTGAAGTGTTTATTCGCTCTTGTTGCAAAGGCTGTTTTTGTTAATTTTTTTTCCTTTTTACCTCAACAAGGCATAGGGCCCCTGCATGTTATTATTAAAAGTGTTGTGTAAACAAAAGGAAATATGTAAACATTGCTGTAAGTCGTGCAATTATCTACAAAGCATAAAGAAATCGTACAAAAATATGATATCAAACATATACGATATGTATGATTCGATCGACATAAAGAGGGTTAATATTTTGTTCTATGAAGTGCGCGAATATGTTCCAAGATTCAGATCGATATGTGTCTTGGATATAGATTATAAAATCTAAAGAAAAATTTATTATTAAAATTGATGCTTACACTACCCTCTCATCGTGTGTGTGGTACAGGGCACTTTGAGTTTATGCATACATGCGTAGAACCCAGACAAGCTCAAGATGGACCCATCTTACATTAGATCAAATCGATCTAAGCTTGTCTATTATAGGTCTGAATTTTCAACATAATTTGATGCACTAACTAAGCTCGTACGCTGGCTGCAAATGAGCCGAAATTGGACCAGGTAGGTTCATTTTTTTTTTTTTTTTTTCATCGCATAAAAGGAAACCTTTATATGCCAAAAAGGCCAAATCATTAATGCTTTATGATGAAAATTGATTCATGATAATAATTTAACATAAAAATTAAGTAGACCAAATATGAACCAAATTGGCCTATTTTTTGAATCCCATTCCATTTAAAATTTCTGATGAATAGTAGTCGCTTCAGAATAAAAATTTAATTTCTAATATTTTATGACGAAAATTGATCCATAGTAACGGCAGGAAATTTGGATCACATAGATCCACTTTTTCGATCCTAACGTATCTAGGTGCTATCATGAAAAATGAACCCTGTTAGGGAAGAAAAGTCTATTTTCTAATTATTTATAACGGGTACTGAGCAATAAGAAAATTTTTAGGAAGTAAATTAAGTTTGCCAAATTTGGATCACATCATATGACGTTGTGGGCATCCTTCAATATACGAGCTCTCATGCAAATTATGCCTAAGTAAGCCTATTTAGACCACAGCCTCGCCCCTCCCCTCTCGCCAATATTTTGATTATCTACTTTACTTTTGGGCACTTTCTTGTTTTCCAGTTCGACAAAGACAGGAAAGCACTCGCATAGAATCTGTTTGTAAGTTTTCAGTTAATATCAAGTAATGGATAATTGACTTTTACGCTATCGATAATCTACCTGTTGTCCACATACAATTTGTATGTACGATAGTATAATTAACTTCAAGGTTTCTTTAATGTCAGGTTAAGTAATTTCTTACATACATAACTGGAAAGGATGCTTTAAAATAAAATTCTGTTCATTCGTTTCAATGCATTAAGCTGTGCTTATGCGAACAATTTTATCAGCTATGCGAGTTAAATATTATCTCGGTTCTCTTTCTGTGCAAATCGTTTTGCAAATTCATAATGTTTGAATCATCACTGACGTCGTCCGCACAAGTATGCAGACATACAATATAACTCACTCTTAGTCGTAATTCATAATTTTTAAAAATGTATTCTATTGTGATTTCATTTATTTGGGTTAACTTTTTATTGTTGTTTTCAATAACGGTTATATGGACGTTTACACAACTTGTGGTACGGGGTATATTAAGTTAGTGCGGTCGTGTGTAACACGCACAAGAGCTTAAGATAGACCCAACTTTTATTATCCCGATCGATTCAGAATCATAATCTGAATTAATCTAAGCCTGTCCGTTTGTCTGTACGCCTGATGTCTGTCCATGTAAATGTGTGTTCAAGCTAAGTGACGTGTTTTGACCCAAGGACGGACATTATTGGAAATGATCCGCATCGGTCCATTTCTTCGATCACTCCCCAAGTAACACCCTATTCTGAAAAGTCCTTATATGAAAAAATATTGTAATTTGCAAAGTTACTCGGCAACAGTAGCTAAATAGTAGTGTATTTCATTATTCGAAGTTGGGATGAAAATTTTGAAGCGGCTGGGGCAATTTTTGAACCACCTCATATAAAGGAAGCTGAAATTGATTCGACAATTTTCAATGCTTCATGACGAATATTATATCATAATAGTAATTTAACACTTAAAAAAATGAACTGTACAAAATTTGGATCATCTCGGCCTATTTGTTGGATCCTACCTTTATATTCATGAAAATAGATCGTTTGCAGAGCAGGAAAGTCTAAGTTTTATACAAAAATAAATAAAAATAAGAATTACGTTAGGCAATTTGGTGTAGAGCATTTAATAGTTGGCTTTACCCGACGATAACGTTTTTACTTGTTTCATAATTAAAAAAAGATTTATTACACTTTCTTCTTGGCGAGAAAATAAAATTTTAAGCCCATATTAAGCGATAAATGTTAAGCAAAAATTTCAAAACCTGATTGCAAAAAGTTTAACAAGAATTGAAACAAAGTCCGCGGTGATCAAAATAATATTTAAATAATTTAGATAGACCGATTATATTAAATAATAAAGAAAAGATATAGCTCCTAATAGCCCCTAAGAAATTGAATCAAAAATATATATATATTCATTCCACTTAAGCCGAACGCAAAATGCACTTTATTAGCGCAACATTCTTCACCTTGAGCATTTGCTTTTTCAAGCCTCATACGTGCAAAATTTAAATCGAAATTTGATATTTCTATTATGATCAAGGCAAATATACAATGCTTCAGAACTATTGTCGCGATTAGCTTGCGATCTTCAGCATCTAATATGTTTACTAGAATTATTTAAATATTTTCACTACAAAAAATGGTACATAACGTGCTTTCTAGCAAATCTTCAACGTATCTTCTTATAGTAAAAAAATTAGATTTAACGGGTCCTAAGCTTTCTTTTCTTTTTGGCTAATGCAATGCGAAATCTAGTGAACAACAAGGAAACGTCACACTAGTGGCTTTGTTTGAGCTATTAAAAAAAAAAATAAAAAATAAAAAAAATGATCTTACACATATGGAGTCCAATTCTAACGTTATGAAGAAGTGCAATGAAAAAGATTTGTACCTTCTTCTTTGCGCTATGAATAACTTGTGCTCGTTGAAGATTGAAGAGATGCTTCCTATCGATCAATTCCTTATTATATTTCAATAATTTTTTTTCAAACCTTTAATAAATCAGATATCTGTCGATAAGAGGCAAATACTTATCCTTACTCCCTTTAATCTTCAGATTACCTAAATGAAATACAATAAATTTGTTCTTTGGAGAAAAAAATTGATAAATAATTTTCTTGATATGACTGAGGAAATTATTCGCAGATTCTTTATTTCATACAAATATATATATATATATATATTTGGTTTGTTGTAAACATTTGGAGAAAAACCTCTTATATACAGTTCTATAACTCCAGTAACGTTATATATGTGTTATGTATATATACATAAAACTTAAATCTTAGTTTTCGTGATCCGAAAATCTCTGCAATATTTACAAGTTTTGCTTTTAGGGCCTGATATGTTAATTTTTGAACGATATGTGGCAACACTGTAAATTAAATACCAATAAAACGTTAACAGTAAATGAAGAACAGAACGATGCAGTAGCTAAGCTCCGTTAACATTGATATTGACAGCTGCTACTCTGCGTACAGTAAACACAAAAGCGCACACACACTCACAAAATGCACAACAGAGTTAAGAATTAATTTTCTTTATCGATGAGTAATTCACCAAAAAGAAGAATGAAAGCAGAAAGAGTTCATCATTAAAAAGTAAAAAAAAAAATTAAAAAAAAAAAAAAAGTAAACAATAAAATTCCCGGTAAATTACTCAATAGTAATTTAATTAAACTGTAGAGAGTCTTTATATTATAAGATATCTGAGCATTATAATGACGCACCCAAAAGTAGTAATTTCACTTCAGAGGCGGCACGTTCACCTTCTTCGCGTAAAACGCGATCAATATTTTTGGAACGTTCAATTGCCTCCTTATCTCGCGCGGTACTAACTGCGCAACCCATTTTGTTTGCTTGATTGTTTGATGATTATCAACGGGAAAATCGAAAGCACGTATGTAATATATTCAATCTTTTCGTATAGATATTCCTTTTCTTTTTTTTTGTCGACGGGATTTACTTTTCGGCGCTTTTCTATTTTTACTTGGGTGGTAGGCGTCCTTTGCGTCTGCGCTTTCTTTCGATCACAATTTTCTTTATGAAATTTTGCGCACGTTCACTTTATTTTTTTCATAATTTTAACAAATTTAATTTTCTTAAATATACATATATATAAATATAAATATATATATATATATATATATATGTATTCCGTTTCACTTTACTTGTTGTAAATGCCGCTAAACACAAACAACACACTGATCCGATAACTAAGGCGACCAAACAAACTTGTATTGAGATTTTAAATGATCACTTTTGAGCAATAACTAACAATGTTGCCAATACGCTGTAAAATATTTGCACAACAGCATTATGGTCATTGTTCGATTTATTGAGGTTAATGAGTTTAAACGTGTTTAGATTAAACAATATCTATTTTATTATTATTATTATTATTATTATTATAAATTTAGCCAGAGAATAAATTCTAAGACTAAAGTCTTAAAGCACTAGCGTCTAGGGCTATCGGCTTTTTTATTAAAAAACTCTACCGCACTTGAGGTTTGAACCCACGACTATTGAGTTGCTAGTCGAGACTCATGCCAACTCGGCCACTCAGGCGGATAATATATCTATTTTATTATTAATTTGTGTATGGAAAGCCAATGCTAGACTTTGATCCAATTTTTCTAAACATAAAAACTAAAATTCGAAGACAAAAGGGACAAACAAACAAATAATTTTTACAATGCAACTATGTGCACTAAGATGAGAACAGTTAATCAGTTAAGATATATCGATAAGTCTACTTATAAAATTACGCTTATATATATTGAAGAATTTGGTGTTCAGAAATTGACTAAAATCCTTCCGAAACAAGCATTTCATACATATATACATAGATTAGAAGGAAAACATTTGTATTATTATTGCAATGTCTTAAGTATTTCAATAAATACTTTTCTAAAAATAGAGATGTCTAAAGCGGAAGACTTCTATTGTGAACTATGTGTAATTTTTGAAACGGTTTTCTGCTAGCGTTTGATGATGAATTTACTCGGTCCCGAATAGTTGGCTGTCTTTGATTGAGCAAACACTCGCAGGGGAAAGCATAGAAAACCGTTTCGGCTTATCAGGCAATAGGTATAGAACTTAAATACATTGAAAGCAAAGAGTGTGAAAATGAAGCTTAAAAAGTGCTCAATTTCTTACGAGATATCAGATCATCGGGATTAGAAATTAATTAATGGTCTATTAAGTAAACAACTGAATAAAATTAAAATAGAAAAACATTCGAAGTGAAATAAAAACGATTTATCATTATTATTATCATAAAATTAAGCCGGAGAACGAATTCCAAGACTAAAGTCTTCAAGCACTAGCACATATCTAAGGCTTTCGGCTTTTATTAAAAACTCTATCATAGTTGAGATTTGAACCCATGAGCATTGAGGGTTACTACTCGAGACTCTTGCCTACTCGGCCACTCATGCGTGTTATTTAAACTTAAAATCTATTCGTTAAATGCAATTTTCATATTAAATTAGATTGAAATCGTTTTTATACTATATACCTTGAAATTTAAACGTATACCATATATGATTTAAAAGTGAAAAACTTTACAAAGTAATTTTCAAATAATAAAATAAATTAGGAAAAGTGAATAAGGCTCTGGATGCCGTCGATTCAGTCAACCATTTTTTCAATCGAAACGCCCAATTATTATTAATTTCCTTATCCTCTTTTTTTCTACTTTTTATATTTTGGTGGATTGCTTTATTTTCACTTCTCCAATCGCATGTTGGTTGTTTATAGTAGATCGATTTCTCTATCTATACTTGTCAAATGATAACAGGTTTTTATTGTACTTACTATACTACTGCGGCCTGATAAGCCGGGACAGCAGTGTAGTATTTTGTTATAATTGAGTTATCAAATGGGGAGAAGTAGTTTCTGCTTGTATTAAACACACTTCTCACTGAAATTTTTTTCAAATTTCTCACTCCTTATAATTTTGAATGATTTGAGCAAAAAAAAAACGAACAGTCTGGCATCTAAAAAATTAGGGATATTGCAAATGCATTAAATGAAACTGTACAATGCAACTCTGTGGCTAAGATAAATTGGAGCTCGTAAAATATCGATAAATTTATTATTTTGGAAAAGAAAATTGAAAGAGTTTTCTTCTGTGGCTTAAAAAGTGTTCGAAATAAATTAATAAAACAATTAAAGATTAATATGAATGGAATGAATCTTATTTTTCATAACTAACAATAAGTCCGACTTTCAGAATTGCAGTATTTATTGTTGCATTGTTTGTTAGAAAGTAAATGGACAAATTAAATCGAAATTACTTTTGTTTCTTAATTCAAAGGAAACTTGGGATAGTTTTAATTACACTTGAATTCATATTCGCTTAGAAAAGATAAATGATTTATATGAAAAACTGGAAAATTCTAATGATGAGTGGTATATAGATGTATGTATTTCCGTTTCCTAGAGAAGGCATATAAAGTCATTAGTTAATATTGTCAAATATAGAATCGAATGCAAGTTGATTATCGATCGTCTTATAGAAATTATCGTTCTATTCGTAAATGTATCTTCGAAAAGCTCGTTGAGAACAAAACTATTTGAATTTTTGGGAATGTATATTGATTAGAAATCTTTTTGGTCTCAAGAAAGATGAAGTCAAATTGCGAAAAGAATTGGCGAAAGAAGTTTGCTTTTACGTCCATCGTCGAAGGATGGGAGGTGTATTCATTTTCTCAAAAAGTTGTCAACGTCGAGAAGAAAGCTTCAGAGCCAAAGTCTATGTATTCTTGATCAAACATGAAATTCGAAATCAATTTAAGCATGTCCGTCCGTTATTTAATTTGTAAAGATTCCCCTGGCTGCAATGATGAAGCTATCGACTTAAGAATTTGCAAAAATATTGGAAGTTCTTACACGGAGGTTGCTATTGGAAATGGTTTGATCCGTTTGAAGGGCACGCCTGTAGTACAACGTAAACTGAGAGCACCTCTGTTGTTTAAAAGGCAGAAGAAATTGGTCTTTTGCCCATTATTCAGAAATTACAGCAGATAAATGTACAACAATTTAAACGTATATTCTATAAGTGATCCTGTAGTACCCGTGCAAAAGTAGGAATATGTGAGCAGGTCTACTCCATATTATAGTGTATCAAAATTAATTTTTATTTTTCAATATCCTTATAACAGTCAGAAACAAGCTTCATAGGTATATACATTCCTGGCCAGTTTCAAATTCGGAATGCACCCAAGCTTGTCTGTCTCTCCGTGCGCCCAGCTATGTACCCCCTTTCGCAAAAATGAAGTTATCGGTTAGGAATTTGTGAAAAATTGACAAAACGAATATACTCCTCATGCTCTCTTGATGGGTATAATAATATGTTTAGAACACAATGTGAATAAATCGAGAAGCAAATCGATCAAAACTAATTTAAGATGATGTGCCTGCTCTTTGTCATTGGTGGATAATTCTTTGAAAGAGAGAATCGAGCGAGTTAGTGTAGTATGGATGGAGACGATAAGCAATTACTCTAATAGTACTTGCGTAGGTATATCAAATTGCTCTCTCAATGCTGTTTTCAAATTACTTGAACAAGAAATATATATATTTTGTCAAACATTTGAAGAGATATTTAAGAGATAGGCAGGTAAGGAGCGACTGCAGGTTTTCAGTTTGTAATATTTCGAGATATAATTTTTTTTAGATAATTATATATAATAATGCCAAGTTAAGCCGCCGCTTGCTTAGTGCTTCACATTTGATATGATCGTATAAGTGACGGATCTATATCCGGAATTTCACAGATCAATTTGCTTACAATGGATCAATGGAACATGTACCCGCAATAGTAACAAGAATAGTTCACAAGTGCTGTTAGTCTGCGTATCTTAGCATAAATTAGTGCTTTATCGCAGATACCGATAGATAGTATAAATGTTTGGGACGACAAAAGTTTGGAGTGAGCAAAGGTTATACAATCACTGACTGCCTGAGTGCAAATAATAAGATATTCTAGTATTTTTATATGTTTATTGTATAGAATTGTGTTAGATAACTGCAACACATAGAAGTATATTCGATGAGTGTTTGCTGAGCAGAACAAGTGTGCGAAGAATATGAAATTAGCTGCGAAATATTTAACGCCTTTTAACGCTTGATTAACGCAATTATTATTTCAAATAGAACATCAGAACAATTTTGATTTTATTGGTCGGAAATTCTTGACATCTTTTTTTAAAAAAAAAATGAATATGTGCAATAATAATCGGGAGTTTGCTTCAATGCGAAACGACGGCTCGTCTCTCATAATGTATGCCTGATTTTTAAGTATTTATTTTTAGTGATATGTAATTTTTTTTTAGAGGAAAAAGGGAGTAATCCTTTAATGAAGGTGTGGCATAGAGGATTTTATGCACTCTTAACGATCATGTCAGCTTAAACCTTAGTTTAAACCTTACTTTTAAATCTAAGGAAGTTATACATTGTTTGCAATTCCATAGAATATATTTTTAATATATATGTGCATACATATGCAATTAGCGCAAGAATATTAAGCAATTAACTCTTCTTTCCACTGTCGAGTAAAGGTGTACTTTGTCGATAATTGCGGATAAAGTCCGAAAACGTGCACGAACCCCTCTTAATAAAATTAAGATAAATACGTAACAGAGTTGTCTGAACATCAGTGCATCTAGGTCAACTGAAAGATTTTTAATAAAAGAATATTTCAGTTCTACATTTGTGTTTCAACAGTTGTGTTGGCTTTGGCATGCCAAGTAAAGAAGGAATTTTTTTTTTTTTTAAATATCTCCTTAGCGTCGGCTCAATTTTTCGGTTTCCATAATTCAAAAACTATTTAGAAATGTTCAAGTCTCTTAGTATCTCTACGCAACGCGTAGAATGGCTTTTATTACACCGATCGATTCAGAATCATAGTCTCAATTGATCTGATTTCCTGTATGTCCGTCTGTCCGCTTGATGTTTATGCATGTAAATTTATGTTCAAGCTACAGGTTGCAATTTTTCAGATAATTCAATGAAATTGATATGAAAACTTTGGGCTGAGTGAGGCAATTTGTGAACCCCTCTCTTATATAACGAAAGCTGAAATTCATGATGAAAATTATATC